TACTAAAAAGCAACAGCCAGTCTTGGACTCCTCATTCTGGATGAAATCTGGACCAGGACATTAAGATTCCCAGAGATGCTAAAGATGGATATTTTCTTTTGTTATTTCTTTATCGATTTAAGGAATTCACATATGCATTCTCTTCATGGAACCAAGTAAGATCGCAACCCAAAATCTCTCTCTCTCTTTCCCTCTCTCTCTCACTCTCTGTCTGTCTCTCTCTCTCTCTGCCAGTACATATCCACAAACACCCTATTTTGCTGGAGCTAAGCCAGCTCGTTCAAAATTAAAAAGAGAATGTTTTCAGTAATTAAGCCATAGGCTCCATCTGGAATGACTGTCAACAAGACTCAGCAGCAGAGAAGATGGACACACATCTACTAATTGACTCCTGTTGTTTTGGAATTCTGCCCTCTCGTATTGATATCCTGATTAGTCTGGTTGAAAATGGCCCCTGCGCTTCGACAAAGAATGCCGTGACAGCCTGAAGCTTATGAAGCTAATCATAAAGGTTTAATTTAGCCTTCTGCTCTCTGCTTTTCTCCATTCATTAACATGCTTTATCCCTCTGTAAAGCCTGGCACAGCAGCGCATTCGCATGGAGGGACCCAGATTGGTCAAATGCTGGGAAGAAGCAATAATCTAAGAAGTGCGTGGATCCTCTCCAATTTAAGAGAGTAAAGTTAAGCAAGCAATGTATCACTTTGCTATGTATGATTAGCTTAATAAGCTTCAGGCTGTCACCGCACCCATTGTCTAAACCCCCAGTTTTAGTGGTTTGAAAATGCGGATGGAGACCACCTTCTGTTTTTGTTGCTAAGTTGTTAAGTCGCTAAATTGTGTCTGACTCTTCACCACCCCATGGATCATAGCACACCAGGATCCCCCGTCCTCCACCGTCTCCTGGAATTTGCCCAAATTCATGTTTGTTGCATCAATGACACTATCTAACCATCTCCTCTGCCGTCCCTTTCTCCTTTTGCCTTCCATCTTTCCCAACATGTCACTTCTCTTCTCATTTGGTGGCCAAAGTTTTTTGAGTGTCAGCTTCAAAATCAGTCCTTCCAAAGAAAAGGCAGAGTTGATTCCCTTTAGGATCAACTGATTAGATCTCCTTGCAGTCCAAGGGGTTCTCAAGCGTCTTCATTTACTTTGTCTACAAACTCATTTCTGGTGGCAAGCAACTCTAACGGGAGATGCAGTGTTCTCGAGAACTTCAAGGTGACCTCAAAGACAAGTTCCACTAAAGTACTAATTATTTGATGTTTTGGTTATGCTTCTCCACTTCAGCTGCTGCAGCTAGCCATTTCAAGCCCGTGAAATGCCTAGAAAACACAGGGTTGATGTTTGCTCACCATGCCATGGATGATTTTATACAACTCCATTGTGTCTTCCTCACTCACATCCAAGCCAAAATGTCTCAAACACCCTAACTTTTTTTCTCAGAAACAAGGGCCTCAAGTCTTTGATCAGTTTGGTCTCTGTCTCCACTTTTTCCATCTCTCCCTCTCTTCTAGGAATGTTACATTCCTGTTTATATGCAACAAGCAAAATACTCCCTATTATTCTAGCTGTAGATGTCTCCTTGATTTATCAAGGAGCATTATAATTTGGCAGTTCCCTACATTCAACCCCTTTCCTAATGAATTGTTCTATAGATTTCACACGTGCATGAAAAAATGTGTTTCCAGTATGCAAGATACTTTGATCCTTAATGTTTCCTTGAATTTTGGTAATAACTTCTGAACATTTATTTATTTGTATCCAACCTGTTTTATTTTTACAAAGAACTCAAGGTGGTAAAGATATCCAACACACCTTCCTCCTCCAGGCTGGGTTTCATGCTTGAGGCAGGACTAGAACTCACCATCTCCCACTTGCTAGCCCGGTGCCTTAATCATTAGACCAGGGGTAGGCAACCTTGGCTCTTTTATGACTGGTGGACTTCAAACTCCCAGAATCCCTGAGCTAGCCATGCTGAGGGGAAAGGGAGAGGTTTCTAAGCTGAGCCATGCTGGCTCAGGAATTTTGGGAGTTGAAGTCCACAGGTCATAAAAGAGCCAAGGTGGCCTATCCTGCATTAGACCAACAAGCTCTTGAAATTCCTATTTTGAATAGCTTGAAATAATAATTCTTATTTTGAATAGCATGGAATAACATTTTTTAGAAATATCTTTCCTTCCAACCAACCTGGTCCATGTTCTCCATAAATAGAACACAGAATAACCGGGTTGGGAGGGATCTTGGAGGTCTTCTAGTCCAACCCTTTGCTCATGGCATGAGATCCTATACCATTCCGGACGAATGGCTTCCAGTTTCTTCTTGTTAACCTCCAGTGATGGAGCACCCACAACTTCCAGAGGTAAACCTTTTCACTGATTGTTTCCACAGGAAATTTCTCTTTAGTTCTAGGTTGGTTCTCTCCTTGGTTAGTTTCCCTCCATTGTTTCTTGTCCTGGTTTCAGATGCTTTGGAGAATAGATTGACACCATCACCCCTCTTCTCTGTGATTGTAATTGATTTCCACATTCTGAAAACACGTTAACTGTGAATCTTTCTTAAAAAGGGTAAATGATTTAATGGATAGAGATGCTCAGGGCAAGAAAACCAAGCCATCACAGCAAGCCATCTCTATGGCCAATGCCCATATTCAAAGTTTAAATCTCCTTGCAAAACAATCTTTAAACACCCTGGCCTCAGTCCATCATCTGTGTCCCCAATCTAGAATCCTAACTGAAAAAGAGAACATGGACAACATTAAATTCCTCATATTCCTGCCCCACTTTTTAAAAAAGGCCTCTGAATATGATTTCCCTGTAATGGGCTGAATATTCTTTAATCAATCAGAAGCCAAGACTGGAATTGGATAAAGGGAAACCAATGTGTCAAAGGAATAATATCCAATTAGCAGCATGACACAACGTCTCAAAACGAAGCTACTGATCACGCTGGTACCCAGGACGTTGGTGCACACTTCAATAGATCAGTCTCATCTTCACATTCTCGTTCCCCATCAAAATACTTTTATTTGCAATTCAGCTTTAAGAATAAAAGCATCCGTTAGTTTGGGAGTTCTCTTATCTCTCTTCTGAAAGGAGAAAACATCTTCAGGGCAATTTTGTAAAGATGCAGCAGGTTGGTGTCTTTTTGTTTAAAAAAAAAAATTGCAACATCTACAACTGAAGGAAAAAAATTGCAGAAGATACCGGTAAGATTGAACAATACTGAACTGTATCTAGTTCTTATAAGCAAATATAAAACAACAGACTCTGCGTGTTGAGATTTTCATTAAACTCTCCAGTCTGAGCCAAAAAAAAAAACAACCTAAAATCCCAGTGGGAGAAGTCTACATTTTCTTCAGAAGTGGGATGGGACGATTCTACAGAGCAAATATAACTGTGCAAATTGCAAAACACTTGGAGGCAGGCATCAAGTCGTAAAGCTTTAGCATTTTTTTTGTAAGCAATCACGGTTAATATGTCCTATTTTCTGTTTATTCCTCAGGATTGTGGCCCTTTCTTTTTGTTGTTGTTTACAGCTTTTTCTTTTTGAATCCAGATATAGTTAACTACAGATTAACTACAGCCATTGACCTCAATCGTGGTTAATATTTGCTAATAGCTTGATGTAAATCCTACCCACCCTGTCAGCATCACCCAGAACAGGGGTAGGCAACCTTGGCTCTTTTATGACTCGTGGACTTCAACTCCCAGAATTCCTGAGCCAGCATGGCTCAGCTTGGAAACCTCTTCCTTTCCCCTCAGCGTGGCTGGCTCAGGAATTCTGAGGATTGAAGTCCACAAGTCATAAAAGAGCCAAGGTTGCCTACCCCTCATCAGAAGAAAGTCTTTGCGATGTCATGTCATTCTCACGAGGCCTTTGATCTTGAATTTACAAAGAAAAGTCTGCTGGGTAATTTAAAAGCAGGAGGGACTCTCTCACACCTTAAGAAACAAGGGGGGGGGGGAAGACCCCAAACCAGTCAGCTTGTTTTAATGTAAATCTTTACTTACTTTTGTGTGAGGTGTGGCTGCCCCTCACACAAAACCATCCCTTCTTCCTCCCTTCCCCCCCCCACCAGGCCGCCAATCCAGAAAGGTTGGGGAACGCTGCATTAACACAACCGATTTGACCCAGTCTACACAATGACAGAACCCATGATAAAGTGCAAGACACGGTGAAATTAAACCCCAAAACACTGCTTCCCCACAAGTTTCATTAAAGTATATGAAAACAATTGCTGTTAAACTCAAATGCTCCACTTAAGCCAGGGGTAGGCAATCTTGGCTCTTTTATGACTCGTGGACTTCAACTCCCAGAATTCCTGAGCCAGCATGGCTCAGCTTGGAAACCTCTCCCTTTCCCCTCAGCGTGGCTGGCTCAGGAATTCTGGGAGTTGAAGTCCACGAGTCAGAAAGCAGCCTAGGCCTAGGCCAGAGGTAGGTAACCTTGGCTCTTTTATGACTCGTGGACTTCAACTCCCAGAATTCCTGAGCCAGCCACGCTGAGGGAAAAGGGAGAGGTTTCCAAGCTGAGCCATGCTGGCTCAGGAATTCTGGGAGTTGAAGTCCAGAGTCATAAAAAAGCCAAGGCTGCCTACCCCTGACTTAAGCCAAGAAAATAGGGGAAACCAAGAAAAACATGGGAAGATAAGCTGCAATCTCACTATCTGGAATTGCATTTATGCCTCCCCAAAAGAGATTTTATTATCATTCATCGCACAGTCAGCCAGATGTTCAGACTGGATTTGGCATTTTGTCTACCTATCGAGTCCTTACCCAGGTATTATTATTATTATTATTATTATTATTGAAAAGCCATGCACGAATTGCCTCGTACGTTTCCAGTTCTCCTAAAATATGTAAACAGGGCAATTTATTTGATTCAGATAAGGTGAAAAATCTAGATTTTTTTGTCTTATCTAGAAGAGATATACTTAGAGGATCGATTAAGTAGAATCAAGTCTAGATTTTGCTCACAGCTAGAAATAAATCTTTCAATCCTTTATCAGCATTTTTACTAAGAAGCTTTTTTTAAAAAATAAACAAACTAAAATTATAGTCACACAAGGAAGACCCAGATTTACCAACATTTAACCTTAAATGAATGCATTTCACTCCAGTTGATGGAAGTTAGTTTAGCTCTTAAAGTCTCTCGGGCATAAATTGTTTTCCAGGAGGATAATCTATGGCTGGCAGAACTGACCCTCAAAAATTTGGAAGACACTTTACGGTAATAAAATTACTGCTGCTACGATCCATCATTCACTTAGATTTTTACAACCGGGATTTGGGAATTAAATCCTGCCTCTGAGATAACTCTCCTGACATTGCAGCAGTAAAAACTACAATGTTGAATCGATATTCTGAGTATTGTAGCTCAAGTCCTCTCTTCTACAAGGAGAACAGGCTAAGTAGAATGAAAAGATGAAGAACAACTTGTATATTCCTCTCTCAGTAGGTCAACACAGTTGTGGATCCGTTTTGACGAGATCT